AGAAAGAAAGAAAGAAAGAAAGAAAGAAAGAAAGAAAGAGAAAGACAAAGGACTGAACTTAGAACAAATAACTCCCCTTACTAAATTTGAAAAAGTGACAAAATACAACAGGAGAAATGTCAAATTCCTTGAATAAATGAGTCACAAAAGAATAAATCCGAATGTCCAGCAGGCATTTGAAAACATGCTCAACAGTATTAATAATCTGAAGTGTCAGAGCAAGGACTTCATTTTACCTTCACTGGGTTGGAAAAATAATGTCAGGTAATACCAAGAATTGGCCTGCAGGTGGAGCAACAGAAACTGTTGAACATGGATTGTAAGGGTAGAAATTCATGCATGTTGTTAGAAAACATTAGACAGTAATCCGTTAAATTTAAAGTGTGAACACTCCACAAACCTGTAATTCCATTCTTAGAAAAATAACCCAGAGACACCTGTGTTTGTGTACACATTCTGTAATTCTTTATGGCTGAATCATATTTTATATATTTTTGTTTATTTTAAACCCGTTTGTATGTTGCTGTTAAACTCTAGATTTAGTAAGTCTTTAAACACGTATTTATTAACTCCTTATTTTTATCTCAAGTTGCAAAAGTAACTTTTCAAATATCATAAAAATGACTAGATTATCATCACAAAATGAAATATTAATGTTGACAACACAATAATTGCAGTCTTAAATTTTACTGAGAAGATATAAGTGGGAAAAGGTGATAGGTCTGTATAATTTGACAACACTGCCTAGATTTTTATGTGAACCAATTTTTAAAGCATATAAATTATGCCACACTTTGGTTGTAAATCTTTGTTTGTAATTCCACAGCTTCTGATTTCAATATACACATTTAAAACTTAAGTATGTGTAAAGCAATTAGAGTACATTTAAACAATTACCAAAATTAGTCTTAAAACATGTGAATTTCCATTTTATAATATTTTGCAGTCAGGAATGGGGCTATAACTCAGTTAAAGTGATTTCCAGACACATACAAGGGTCTGGGTTTTATCTCCAGAACCATATAAATGGGGCATGGTGGGGCACACCTGCAATCTAGAACTTGGGAGATGGAGATAGGAAGATCAGAAGTTAAAGGTCATCCTTGCCAATATAAGTAGAGATAAAGGGAGTAGGACAGCTAGCTATGCAATGTTTGTGAAATTTTGGTGCTAAAGTTGTTACACTAGCTAGCATTCTGTAAATAACACAAACTCACCAAATATTCTGGTTGAAGGTAATTTTATTATTGTTGTTATTGTTATCATTGGCATCATTAGCACAAAACTAAATCCACTATTAAAAGAAAACAAACACATCCCAAAGGCTTGTTGACAATGAGTTAATAACATTATCTTCATGTAATAGGGATAGCACCCTGAGGATATAGACCATATCACAGCTTGATAATTGAATAATTCACCAACTTTATTGAGCACCTAGGCACAATGGAGGATTTAAAAATGCATACAAGAATCCCTGCTTTCAATAAGTTTACAGTATAGTAGGAGGTATTGAAGTACAGCAAGAACATAGGGACACATGGGATCAGTGACATAATGGAATCAGTGCATGTTGATGAACTGTTGGAAGGGGGTGTTCCCAACACATTCAGGTGGGGGAACATAGAGAAGGGGCTCCATATAGACAGTAGCATTGGGGTTGGACTTTTGGAAATCGGAGGCCTTTTAGTGTGTAGGGAGGCATTGCAAGTGGAGAGACAGTGTGGGGCAGAGTATGGCCTTGGGTAAGATCATGGGATGTTTGGGGAGAGAAAAGCACTGCACTTGACTGACCTATGCAGTCCATGCATATGGTGTAGTAATATGAAGAAAGTTATATGGATACATATTGGCAATGGCTTTGAATGATAGGCTAAGATCATTATGTGGTAGATACTATAAAGTTGTCCACATCAACAAAATAGCAATTAATTGTGAAGAGATATGGTCATGTTGATTCTAGGTTTCTTATGGAAATTTAAATGGCTTTTAGGCAGCATAATCAATGTGGCTGTGTGTGTGTGTGTGTGTGTGTGTGTGTGTGTGTGTGTGTGTGTGTTTCCTAACAGCAACAAACCATAATATTTTTATCTATTTGCCATGTAATTAAATTAATTAAATCTCTTCAAAGCCTTTATTCTTTCTATCCAGGCACCAAATCTCTTCTCATTCCCATCTCCATCATCATCATCATCTGTTCTTGTGGTACCTGATGGGTTGAAGTGGGCCTAAACGAGGATTTGTAATCAGAGCAGGGACCCTGAAAGTGGGACCCACAACTGGAAGTGAGAGTGGCTGTGGCAGAGGCAGTGAGCAACGTCAGGAAAATATAGGCATCTCTGAAGTTTTCCTCGAAGTCTAGTACAGTTCATTGAAATTGGAGCTCCTCTCAGTTTGGTCAGGAGGCCACCACAGAAGGAACTCAGACTCACAGTACCGAAGCAGGGTCTTCTTTTAAAGTTTCCTCTTACTAAAACAGTTCCTTAAAGGAATTACATTTAATCTGGGCTATAGCTTGCTAAAGGCTCCAGGTTCTGAGGCTGCTGAAACTATGTATAGACCAGGGAGACACTGTTTCTTTGACTAAGGAATCCTGATAGGCTTTGTCTATGACTAACAGGTGAAACGTTAGGAGCTTCTCCCATGCAGTGACAGTTTACAGGTACTAAATAATGGTTGTATTAGGTAACCAAGCCAAAGAAATATACTATACACAACCAACAAGTGAAGACTGAGAACAAAGATGTCATGGTCACACTCCATTTTGTCAGTCTTTCATCTCTTTCTTGCTGTGAGCCTTTCTCTGCAAGAAGTCATGGATAGCAGTAGTGAGGCCCCATGTCACACTGGACCTGAGAACAATCAGAGATCCTCCCCTATAAATCAGGAGTATTTTTCGGCCTCGAGTGTCCCACACATCTTGTGCAGAGGCCCATAGGCTTGGCATTCTCTGCCATCCAATATGAGACTGCATATTGGCAACCAGCACAATCAGAGGATACAGGACCAGGCAGGTGATTGTTCCATTGACACTACCAGACACCAAAGCAGGAACCCAATGGGGCAGGCCTTGCCTTGCCAAGCCATCCTGAATAGGATCCTTGAAGGAGAAATAGAGAGCACTTCCCAGGCTGTTTCTGACAAGGACTGGCCAGAAACCACGATAATAGCCTAGGGACAGCCGCCCCCAAAGCCCATAAGAATTGAATTCCTTGAGAATGCTGAAGGTGCTAGGGAAGGAAGCTTGCTTGCGAGCATCCTGGAGTACATTTTGTACTCTTTCAAAGGGACTGAGTGCCACAGCTTCTACCACACCAGACATGAGCCCTGCAGTCCAGCGCTGTCCAAGGGAGTGTGGCCCAACCGGAGAGAGAAAGCACAGGAGACTATCATAAGTGCCAAACAACAGAGTCCCTTGCAGAGTCTTGGAGAGAAGAGGCGGGTAGATGCCCCGGTAAAAGTACTGAGGGCCTTCATGCCAAAGCTGTCGAACAGCCTCTGACACTGCCATAGCATGGATCTGCTGCCGGAACACAACCTTATAGATAGGAAAGGTCAGAAAAGTAGACATAAAGTTGGAAATGGCCCCAAGGGTGTAGGCCTGTGAATGCCAGCTTTTCTTTCCTGGAACTTCTGCTCGTGTCCTTTGTTGAAGCTCCTTCCCAGAAGAGTTGTTCTGTTCGTCCATGCTGAGGACAACTGGATGATGGTGGAAGAAACTAGCAAAAGCAGACAAGAAGTTAGGCTGACCATTTCAATGTCTCAGCAAGTGTTTTCCTGGTTTGTTCTGACACAGAACCACGAGAAACTCTCATGTCAGGAAATACTTTTGACAGTTTCTAAGAATAGACATGCCCTTAGGAAATTAATAATTCAGCAACCTTCAATCAAATTTTGATTTATTTCCCTTCATAAGTCACCTCTGTGGTACATTGGTGACACAGTAAAATCCAAACATTCAAAAACTTATGATTAAAAATCATAGATAATGTGGAAAGAGGGCTTATTCAATTATCATAAAAACTATACATTTTAAAAATGTGTGTTCATGAGTGTATGCATACATGTGCACCTGCACTCACAGAGGCGAGAAGAGGACATAGGATCTCCTGGAGTTACTGGCAGTTCGACTCACCTGATGTGGGGCTAGGAACTGAACCTTGGTCCTGTGCTGAGCTGTTGCTTCTTCGCCAAACTTCGCATTTTATTACCTACTGGACGAGTAAGTTGTTTCTCTCTTTCCAAAACTACTTTTTGCTATGCTACAGGTTGAGCCCAGGGCTTCTGTGTGCCAAGCAAGTGTACAATCAGATTTGCAGGCTCCATCACACCTCTCTCTCTCTGTGTGTGTGTGTGTGTGTGTGTGTGTGTGTGTGTGTTATGTTTATGTTAGTGTACGTGTATATGTGTGTGTGCATGCATGTGTATACTTGTGCAGGCTAGAAATTGATGCTGGTTTCCTGAGCTTGTCCATCCTCAGGGATTCAAATCTGAGCAATCCCCATCCTGAAAATCTCTGTTGATTTCCACCCTGGCAGAGGCATCCACCTCCTGGCTTCTCCCCTGCCAATAAATCTCTTAAATGTGGTTTGGGTGAGGTGAGACCATCTACCACGTGAGTGGAGCAGAACAGAGAATGAACAACTTTCCCTGAACAAGAGCAGAAGTGTAACGTTGTTTTGCTCTTTTGCTGGGGACACCTTCCCCTAGCAGAGCAGAGTTGTTGCACTCTAGGGACCTGAGCAGAACTGTAACCACTTTGCTGGGGAAACCCTCCCCTGATGCAGCAGAGCTGTTACATTGGGAAAACCTTTCCCTGCAGCAGGGCTGGAAGCTGCTGTGCTTACAATGACTGTGTGGTATTCCTGGGCTCCCGACTGCCAGGATCCCTTGCCATCTCAGCTGCAATGCTTAGAGAATTTTCTATATTAGTGTCAATCTTAGCTGTAGGGGAAAAGGGCCAGCCAAAGAAACACACCCTGAGAAAAGTCAAAGAAACACACTTTGGCTCTGCAACCAGAGCCAAAAGAAAAAAATACATTCTGGCCCCAAAACTAGTGCCAAAGAAACACACCATGTCCCTAGAATCAGAGCCAGTGAAACAAATAGACCCTGGTCCTAAAATTAGAGACAAAGGCTAAAAAGGAACAGTGAAAGAAACCAACATTGGAGCTGAAACCAGAGCCAAAGAAACACACTCTGTCCCAGACCAAACTCAGCACAAAAAACAACCAATCAGTGAGCACAAAACCAACCAATGGGTGAGCAGGAAACCAACCATTCCCTCTGAGCATGAAACCAGTCAATCTCTGAGCTTCTCCAAGCTCAGGAATTCAAATCGACCAATTTCCACCCTGAAAATCACTGTTCTTTTCTGCCCTGGAGGAGGCAGCCACCTCCTGGATTCTCCCCTGCCAATAAATCTCTTGAATGGGGTTTGGGTGAGGTTATCTATGGCCTGAATGGAGAAGAACAGAGAAGGAACAACTTTCAGTGGACCAGAACAGAAGTGTAATGTTTTCAGGCTTTTGCTGGGGGAAACCTTCTCATAGTGGAGTTTAATGTCTAGACTCCCTGAAGCCTGAGCAGAACTGTAACCACTTTTCTTGCAAAACCCTCCCCTGCTAGAGCAGAGCTGTTATGTTACACTGGGAAAACCTTTACCAGAAGCAGGTCTGTAAGCTGCTGCACTTACAGTGACTGTGTGGAATTCCTGGGCTCCCAACTGCCAGGATCCCTTGCCATCTGAGCTAGAATGCTTAGGGAATGTTTTATATTAGTGTGTGTCTTAACTGTAGGGAAAAAGGGCCAGCCAAAGAAACACACCCTGATGGAGTCAAAGAAACACACTTTGGCTCTGTGAAAGGAATGCACCCAGGCCCTGAAACTAGTGCCAAAGAAACTCACTTTCTCCCTGGAATCAGAGTCAAAGAAACACACTTTGTCCCTCACCAAACTCAGCAAATGAAACAACCAATCCCTGAGCACGAAACCAACCAATCAGTGAGCAGGAAACCAGCCAATCTCTGAGTTTGTCCAAGCTCAGGGATCAAATCTGACCAATCCCACTCTGCTGACTTCCACTCCAGCAGAGGCACCCACCTTCTAGATACTCCCCTGCCAATGAATCTCTTGAGTGGGGTTTGGGTGAGGTTAGACCATCTATTGCCTGAATGGAGCAGAACAGAGAAGGAACAATTTTCACTGGACAAGAGCAGAAGTGTAACGTTTTCATGCTTTTTGCTGGGGAAACAATCTCCTAGAAGAGCAGAGTTGTACTCCCAGGGACCTGAGCAGAACTGTAACCACTTTGCTGGGGAAACCCTCCCCTGCTGGAGCAGAGCTGTTACTTTGGGGTAACCTTTCCCTGCATCAGGGCTGGAAGCTGCTGTACTACAGTGACTGTGTGGTGTTCCTAGGCTCCCGACTGCCAGGATCCCTTGCCATCTGACCTGCAATGCTTAAAGAACTTCTTTTATACTAGTGTCTGTCTTAGCTGTAGGGAAAAAGAGCCAGCCAAAGAAGCACACCCTTAGCAGAGCCAAAGAAACACACTTTGGCCCTACAACAAGAGCCAAAAAAATGCACCCTGACCCTGAAACTAGTGCCAAAGAAACACACTTTGTCCATGGAATCAGAGCCAGTGAAAGAAATACACCCTGGTCCTAAAATTAGACCCAAATGCTAAAAAGGACTAGTGAAAGCAACACACCTAAACCTGTGCAGAAAACTAACCAATCCCTGAGCAGGAGATCTAGCCTGTGTGAGATCAGGTATTGAAACCTGACCAATCCCAACCCTGGAAATCTTCTCCCTAGAAAAACTCCGCCCACTAAGAAGCCCTGTATAACAGACACATCCCCTCCCTGTCTGTTCAGCTTGTGGATGTACAGCTCTCCTATTCCACCCTGGCAGAGTCAGCCACTCTCCTGGATTCCTCCCTTCCAATAAAACTTTTGAATGAGATTTGGATGAGACTTTCCTTCACCAGAATGGAGCAGAAGAGGAGAGAATTAACAACTTTTCGCTGGAGCCAGAGCAGAGGAGTGGAGCAGGGCTTTAACACTTTCACTCCAGGAAACTTTCCCCTAGCAAAGTTGAGTTGTTACACACTCTAGCTACCAGAGCTGAGAACTGTAACAACTTCCCTGAGGAAGCCCACTATTCCTTAGCCAGAGCAGAGCTGTTACACTGGGGAAGCCTTTCCCAGGAGCAGGGCTGTAAACTGCTAAGCTTACCTTAACTGTGGTGTTCCTTGGCTCCCAATTGCCAGAATCCCTGTTCATCCAATCCATCCTAATGCTTATATTAGCCTCTGAAGGATGTTTATCAGTGTGCCTGGTTATTTCTCACTCCTTACCAGTCATGATCCCCATCGGTGATATTCAGGGGATGTAGCTCAATTGACAGAGTGATTTCCTACTGTTCATGAAGGTGTGTGTTTGATCCCCATCACTATATAAACTGTACATGATGGTGCACGTGTGTAACCCATCATTTAGGAAGTAAAGACAGGAAGATGAGTTTGAAACCATCCCCAACTACTTATCAAGTTCAAGGTCAACCAGGGAAACATAAGACCTCATGTCAGAAATATTAAGACATGGAGAAGTAATATTAGAAGCATTTTGGGGGCCAAGACAGGGAAGGAACTTTACAATCAAAGTTTACAAATAGTCTGAGCTATATGGAAGGATGAGGTAGGATCACTTGAATCTGAATTTCAAAAGCCCCCTGAGCCACAAGTGAATCTGTGTCAGGAAGGACAGAAGAAGGAAAAGAAGAGTGGGGAAGGAGGAGGTTGATAGGGAGGATAGGTTTGTACAGGTCCTAGACAAAGTGTGCAGCAGTGGCAGCTGGCACATCAGGGAAAGGAAGCATACATCTGGCCAGGTAGAAACAAGGATGAAGAGAGTACATACTGATCAGGATAGAAGGCAGGCAGAAACAGGAAGTCTAGCAACAATTGTAGACAGCAAGTTTCACACAGAAGCCAGGACACTGTGGTCTGTGGTTGAGACTCTGGTTATGCTAGTAGGCTATACGGCCCACTCGATAGGGACAATGGGAGTTCAGGCTGAGGCCCTGAGTGAGGAGGAGTAGAAGACAGGTGCCACATGCGACCTATGCAGGCTTCTCTGGGATGCTGCACTCACAACTTGCCTTAGAGTGCTTCTGCTAGAGTCACCACTTGGCTTCTGCTCGGGCCTGGCCTCTGGTCCTCTGCCATCCCTACCATACCATTTGCACCCCCTTTGCTGAAGCCAAGCTCATTTCATGGAGGTGGGGGTTACCTTTTATGCTCTGCCCATTACCACCTCCCTGCTCCCAGCACTTCATGTTAGCCTAAAGCCTCTGCCTCCTTAACCTTCTAGAGCAGGAGAGTAGAAGGGCTTGTGTTCCTGGGATCCTTTGGCTGAGGACTTGCCAGAGACAAAGGTTCAAGGGGCCCATTTATTACATTCTCCTGGAATAATTCTGGGCTTCTCGCATTCACTTCTACATCTCAGAAGCTAAAGGGTGCCCTCTGCTGCCTCTTCCTGCATAAGTCGCTCAGGCCTCCAAAGCTACAGGAGCCTGGAACATTCCACAGCTCTCCCTTTCAAATATTACCTTGGCCTTAATAAGGACAAGTGATTAAATAAAGAGTTTTCACATCTTATAAGCCAAGCTCAAGCTCATTTCAGT